GGCACACTGGGTAGAGCTCTCTTCACCCACCAGCCCTAAGGGGTGCCAGGCTGCAGGAAAATGGCGAGGACATGAGGTCACCAGCTGGGACGCAGCAGGGTGCCAGGAAGATTGAAGGGAGGCATTGTGAAGAGTAAGGGGGGTCATGACCAAATGCCACCCATTGAACTGCATAATGGCTGCATTACAGGGCCTGTGTTTTTGTCTCACAGATGTTGTAATGAGGCTGATTCGATTAACAATAAAACCCAGAGCGCAACTGCGGATATTTTGATGTTGTTTGCGAGAGTATTTTTGATCTTGGTGTTTCGTGAGAGAAGTTGGGTAGTTCTTCTGGAATATAGAGGGAGTAAGTGGGTGGAGGGTGTGGTTAGTCAATTCATGGGTATAGAGGCGGAGTCCATTAGGGTTCTATGATTAACACCAGGAAATCTAAGTCTCCACACCAACTCTGAGAACTTCACCCTTGTCTTATCAGGCACCTATCAAACCCCTGCCTACTTGTCCTTTGCTGTCGTGTAATCTCTCCATCTCCGTAAAGCCTTCTCGCTCCCTCGCTCTACCCTTCTCTCCCTCTTTTTCTTGCTCCCTCTCTCTCTCTCAGCGCGTGGCTGAGGTGTGAGATCATTCTCCTTCTGGGTGGCTTTCCTGCTATATGTCACTGTCATCTGCTGGCACCGAGGGTTGGGGGGGGGGGGCACGAGACTGGAGAACGGTGCACCAACGCAGCACCCTGTTTTACTGGGCCTGGCAGGGTGAAGCACAGACCGATGAAGCAGGGGAGAGAGGGAGAGGGTGGAAGATTTATAATTGAATAACTCTCGAAAGCAGGGCAGCGGGGATCAGCCCTGCCAGGAAAAGCAAACGCCAACGAGCAGGGCCTGTGGAAGTCAGCCATTAAAGTGAGAGGATCAGCCACAGCACAGGGCTAGCTTTTCAAAGGCTAACTCAAAATGCAACTTACTTAGCTTCCCCCTCTATACATACTACCACCCACTCAATTCTGATCACTGTAGCCAACAGATAATCCCTTTGAAATTGTGCTGCACTTAAATGCTTGCATTGTCTTTGGTCTCTTTCAATCAGAGTTTAAATAACTTACAAACCACTCTCAACAGTTCAGGAAAAGAAAAACATTCAAGGGAACTCATTCCAAATGATGCATTTCAAATGTAGGAATAACGTGTAGGAATAACATGAAGGAATAACATCGGAACATTGTTTTTCCTCTAATGACTGAATTGGCTAAGGCTATCCCACAATGCACCACTCTCTGCACCGTGATCTGGGATCGTGGCTGTGGAAAGGAAGAAAGGGGGGGTGTTGGAGGAATGAGTTTACCTTGCCTGTTTGGCTTGGCCTTAATGATGCTAGAATGAAAGCATGGCATAGCAACCGTGTCAGGCATGAATGGACTTCTGACTAAATTGACAGACTTTTCCCAGGAAATGGCCTCTACATCAGAGGGAAGATATGAGTTATGATAAGTCATAACTGATCATCCACGTGCAACTGAGTAGAAACCTGGAGCGGTAACAGGGCACGCACCACTGATGGGAGTCACATAAACCTACATTCATCAAATTCATAGTGTTCGGAATAACCAGAATGTGACATCGACTGGAGTCTTCGGTAGTGACGTATTCAATTTAAGGCCCAGCGTCATATTTAATTTCCAAATGAATTGGCAGTCTCAAGGAACATTCTTTCACATGCCATTTAACAAGAACAAAAACACCCACGGTGAGACTATAAGAGAGAGAATGTAGGAGAGAGGTGGTTAATGCAACAGGTCTCCACTGATAAAAAAGAGTAGGTAGTAACAGATTCTCTCCCATCCTGTTAGACACCATCTTGAAGGACGGAAAGGAAAGGTAATAAAGGCAAACAACTGATTATTAGCAGGCTTCTTCTTCTCTTCCAACACGGATGGAGAAGTCGGTGTATGATACAGGACAGCTGAACACACATACAAGAGGACATACATGCACAGTTTCTGTCTTGCTTATTTTGTCAGGTTCTGTGACTTTCCCCGCAGATAAATGTCACTCCTTTCTCTGTCAATCAAAAGCACTCCTCTGCTTTTCTGATTGTTTGTTTGTTTCTTTCTCTATTTCTGATAAGAGGTTTGACTTCTGCATTATCTACAAAGCTTTCACACAGACCCATTGACTGACACATGAGGAGCACTTGACTTTGATCCAAAAGGGCAGAGGTGACAGTGTATCTGTCTCATACCTGACCAGGGAAGGTGACTCTCAACCATAACGCCTGGTTAAAATGTAGACGTTTCAAAGGCGTACATTTGCAGCTTCTATATGTGCCGAGGCCTGACGACGCTAGTGTAATCAATGAAGGCACTGGCTGTCCCAGAGTTTACACTTGATCTGTTTTCTAATTGACCAGAGTTCTGAGATGAATCATGACTGACCACACAATAAAAGATGGCATTACGGCTCTGACACTGTTATCATACATGGGCTAAAATTACACATTAGTGGTATTTTCAGATTTCCTTCAAGCAGATAAGTATCATTCAAACACTAAATATTTACTGTCAGATGATATGAATCTCATGCTGGATCTATTAAGGTTACTTCACTACAATTCCCACCACACTATTTAAGATTATCAATAGCAATAATAAACGTCTAGTGTTTTACATGCAAAAAATATATGACCACAAAAAGGATCAAATACACAGTATTCGGGGAGGGGGGACACACACACATACACACACACACACATACACACACAAAGAAAATAATTGTGTATTTCTCGCTCAGTCGAGCAATTTAACAATTCGCCATCAGGTAACAATCTTTTTATTTATTTCACTCCTTCAATGGGTGCCAAACGGCATTAGACTGAATTTGATATTATACTTCTATCCATCAGCCCTTTCCAAAAGCTTTAGAGTAGTCATCAATCTGAATTTAGAATAGAATTAAATAAATACTTTCCTCCCATGAAACCTTACATTATTTTCTTCCTGTCATTTTCAGTGTAACACAGCACGGTCTGGCATAGAAGTAAAAGAAAAACACACAATAAATCTAAACAAGGACATTAAAAGAAAACAACCAATATGGCTAATTATATAATTCAACATTTACATGAATAATCTGTCTCAAATACTCAATCTTCATTATAATCCATGAAAAATGCCTGTTACTTTGGGTTCAAACAGTACCAGAATCATCTCCAATGTGGCTCCAGATATTTCAAATGATATTAAGAGGGTAAGGAAACCTTTATATTCCTGTTATGTTTTGTTCCTTTTATGTTTACAAATATATAGCATACAGTATCACAAATGTACTTGATTTGTGATATCATTCAAGTTATAAAGCTATTTGTTATTAATTACTTTAAAATATTATTTTAAAACATCCATAATTCCCAACCAATAAACAATAGGGCTTACATTTTCTTACAATGTAATATTGCTTTTATTTTCTGACTAATAGAACTATATTCCATGAATCTGGTTCTAGCAAAACAGAGTTAAATCATGTCTTGTTGATGTCTATTTAAACACATATTTGAATAAATCCTCAACTGGCAACGGTTCGATTGTGGTATACCTTTTTGAATAGTAGGCTATAGGCTCAAGCTACATTTCCTATACAAACATATTAAAACATTTCTAAATAAAAAAATATTATAAGGAATGCTTTGGAGAGAGACAACCAAATGCGGGTTTAGGAATTACCTCATAATCTGACATGAAAATATGAAGTCTTTGAATGTGTTGTAACAGATTTTTTCCATTTTTGGTTTGAGAACGAGCAGGCTGTGTGTGGCCCCATGACGCAAAATCAGGCAATTATAATACGATGTTGAACTAATGGATGGATGTGGTGTAACTCAACTGACAATCTGAAAGCTGCGCAGCTGCACAGACCATTACTGCTGGACTTCAAATTTAGAAAGAGCATTAATTTATAATGTGTTTATATATCAGTTTTTGGGGATGAATGGCAAACGACAGCGAGATGCTGCAGAACAACCACATTGAGAGAGTTTCATAATAAATAAATAATTGCAGTAGGGCCTTTATTGTAGTCATAAAAAAAACGACAAATAAAAAAAGTTTCATTTGCAGTATCAGAAAATCATCAACATGTAGGCCTAACATATTTTCCAGGATATTTGATTTAGTCTAGATTAGAGTAAACACAATATTGCATCTCGTTCATGTGATCTTTATATCATTTGATTCCGCACATCACTTGATCCCGAGTCCCTGTTTCGACAGACAATTTTAAAGCTATACGGGCAAAATTGGACAATTATTTTAATAATTTTATTTGACTTAATATAGGCTTACATTTTTTACATATAGGCCTAAACATCATATCATCGAATCAAATAATATTTTATTATTAGAGAAATGCTAAACAGCCAAACAAAAATTACCCTAATTTTGTAAAAAGTTCTGAACATAATTTAACCCATGCATCACCTACACACTCAACAAAATTCTGAATTGAATGGTTTTCTTGTTGAAAGATGCAATCAAGTTCACTGCGCATTTAGGCCTACTATAGGTAAAAAAAATGTGCAGCTATATTTCCATCAGTTGTTAAAGGCATCAATGACAGATCTTCATTTGCGCAACATTGACAGGTCAGTGAGACAAAGGCCTATAAGAAATATGACTGAGTTAAATATGTTGTTTTAAATAATTCACTTTATTTATTTCCGAATGTAAAAGGAAACTCTTCTGTTAAATATTTGCATTTCAATGGACAAATGTAATTTCATACTTTAGAAAGAAAAACGCAAGATGCTATGAAAAATGTAATCAATGCAAGGCATAAATCTACAGCATACTTAAGAACTTTTCAAATAGGCCTAGATCAACAAGAAAGTCCATCCAATTACCATTGGCAAAATACCTGTGTTTCCACAAGAGCTTCAAAAATCTCTATCCCCTGAGATACAAATCAACAATTTAAAGTCTGAAACACAACTCAAATATTCACAAGCACGGCTCATTTAGCCAGGTCAGAGGTGCTGCGCTGAGTCTGTAATTTCTGATATTCTTGATGTAAACTGACGAGATGTGGAGACGCCGCGGAGTGGAACAGCGCAGGGGACGCGTATGGAGCGCTGGGGGTCATAGCGGAAGAAAAGGTGGCACAGCGGCTCGGATTGAAGGACCCGATAGTGACAGGCTGCTGTGATTGAAGAAAAGCCTTGGCAGCGAAAGAGTTCCGGGTAAACAGGCTCGACAAAGCCGGTAGGAGGCTGCTAACAGGTGGGATGGTGGGCGCGCATGACGAGTATGCATGGTGATGGACGCCGAACGGATATATCTCCAAACTGGGTAGCTGAAGACCCGCTGTGCCAAGTCCATAAGTACCATAAAAGTTGTGAAAGACACTGGGCTCTAGGGGTTGCTCCTTCAGCACCCCGAAACGAAAATGCTGGCGTTTGAACCTCTTCCTTCGACGCAGAAAGCTCCCATTCTCAAACATGTCCGAAGAATTGGGGTCCAGCGTCCAGTAGTTTCCCTTCCCTGGATTACCAGGCTCCCGGGGCATTTTGACAAAGCAGTCATTGAGCGAAAGGTTGTGTCTGATGGAATTCTGCCAGGCAGGGAACTTCTCACGATAATAAACGAAGCGGTGGCTGATAAAGTCACATATCTCGCTGAGGGTAAGACGCTTTTTGGGGCTTTGTAATATGGCCATTGTTATCAAAGCGATGTAGGAGTACGGAGGCTTTACCGACGCCGGGCTTTTACTTACTGCTGGAGGACAATTCGACGTGGGTGAGTAATCCTCCCTATCCTCGTCCTGCCCGCTCGAAGTCAAAAAAGTGTCCGGTTCATAATCTGCGCTTCTCGCCTCTTCCAAAGGTAAGGACACGAGATTCTCCTCTCCGTTATCCCTGAGTCCTTCTCCTACTACGTCAATAACAAAATCTTCCATGGGCTTCAAGTCCAATGTCATAGTCCACGGGCAGAGCCAATTCACCTGTCCCAACAGGTGGGAAAGGGACAGTTCTTTGAAAGGGATAGATGCTCACGCGCAATGCTTTGCCCTCTCCATTCACAAAAAACAAGCTTAAAATGTGTGCGTTTAGCCCCCTCTCACGATAGTCCTCTAACGATAGTCATTCAAGAGAGAAAGAAAAAACTTCAAAAAAACCCAAAGCCTTTTTATCTCCTAACAAACACGAAATTGAACAACTTTTTAGCCTTAAACGGAGAAAGGGGAGGCTGAGAAAAGTATGAAGCACCGTGACTCTTCCAAGATGTCCAGCATCCTCTCTCGTTGGTTTCCTGTTGGAACTGTAACCGTATTGGATCAGGTGACTGTGATGTCATGGTTATGCTCGAGGAGAAGCTCTTAACCAATCGAAACAAGGCAATGGGTACCAAAGTACCACCCGTTAACTATCATCATCCCATCACTCCAATATCAACATCATATTTCAAATTCCATTCGGTATATTACCATTCGTTTAATAAGTGACAACTATAGGATCAATACGGTGGGGGAAAATGATCAAATATTGCCTAATCCTGTTATCCAATTAAACCTAGGCCTACTTGTGGATGGCTATTCGAAATATAAAATGTATGTAGGAGTAGACATTTGGCCGCACTAGATCATCTGAACTATCACTACATCAATAACACATTTAAAAAACAAAATGGCCTATAATTGTAATTTCGTGAAGCGCCAAAAACAAAGATAACTCAGTATAAGCCGATAACCATGAATCAACTCTTATTTTTTTCTGAATAAATAATAATGTCCTACCAAGAGTGTTTCGAACATGTTTCTTATACTATTTTAGCAACATATGCCCATGTGCAAAAAATGGAGGTGAGTGTGAATTGAAGCCTCCATCACACCGACAGCATATTGCGTTTTGGTACACCAGAAGTACATTCATTTCCAATGGAACTCTGCGTTTGCATTTGCAGCATTGTGTTGCAGAGGCAGTTGCAGTCCGTTCTGTGTGGTGCATACTTTAGATTTATCGAACATATGCATCTTATTGTATGCATAGACGGCTTGACAGAAACAGTAGCAGAATGAATGTTGAACTTTTGTTGTACACATATCCAGATGATGCTGCGTACATTTGGTGTAAAACAAGTTTATAGTCCCCTGTAGCTCAGTTGGTAGAGCATGGCGCGTGCAACGCCAGGGTTGTGGGTTCGTTTCCCACGGGGGCCCAGTATGAAAATGTATGCACTCACTAACTGTAAATCGCTCTGGATAAGAGCGTCTGCTAAAATGTAATGTTAATGTAAACACTGTAGGTGTGATCAAGGCATAAATTCTAACATTATGCACAAATGGCACCGGCTAAACAACTATAATGTAGGGAAGCGTGTTGAGTTAGCAATGTTGAAAAGACGAAGTTTGACATTAAGTTTAATAAAATCAAAGTGAGGAATAATTTTAATCGGGTTATGCTCTTTCAAGAAATGATGTCCTTTGGATAAAGGCCTAATGCTTGTGAAAATATCACTTCATATACAACAGCCAGAGGCCCACATTCAAAATGCTGCATTAATGTAAAGGCTAGATTAAATCAATCAATCTAGATCGATCAAAAATAAATGTGGTAGGCTATTAATTTTAGTCAAGTTAAGTGAGACAAATCAAAGGAGAGTGAAGATTAACAACACCACAATAATTGTGTTGATCTTGGGGACTTGCAGTGACGGAAGAGAAGTATGAGCCAACTCCATCATCGACACCTATAGTGGCAAAACAAATAGGTGGACAGTAGGCCGATAGGTCCCCTTCAGAAGGTGTCTATCCCTATAGACAGAGACATTTCACGCGCCTTGCAACTTTTACAATTTATAGGGGGAAATGTAGCCTATAGAAATGTATAGTAGCCTAATTATGCTCATAACATGCTGCTATTATAATAGCAACAGGAATAATATTCGAGCATATTGAAACTAGGCTACTATGCCAGTTAAATGTAGCAGCTCGCCTACTTGTTATTTCGTGATAGGCATATGACTAGATCTGGCTACGGTAAAGGACACTAGGCTTGCTGACATTATTTTTCCTCCATGAGAACCCTATTTAGCGAGAGGTACCAGGATGGTCATACTGTCAAATTACACACTGAGAAAAATGTAATTGATATGCTTTATTTCTCATGAACAGAGAAACCATCGGCCTGCTACTCAATTGAAAACACACACCTTTAAATATATAACAGTCCGTGCTAACACTGTTAAATTGCCTTTTATATTGGCCTAATAGCCAACTATGGTATTATGATGAAAGTAATAGATTTGCACTTGCCAATACATAAAAGGAATGCCAGAAGCGGAGGGCACTTTTGTATTGTTCGAAGGCCCTGGGTTGTTTGTGTTTAATGATTCAGTCCTTTGTTGGGATTTCCACATTTCCTATTGATACCCCAGGGCAGCCGGCGACGGGGCTGGTGTGGGTGGGCTACGTTACCGACAAAGCTGCAGATGATTTGCCAAATTCATCACGCATGTCTTCAGATTGGAAACAGGCCCAATGCCGTGGCGGGAAAAACGCGTTGTGTGGTTTCAATAACAAAAACGGATAATAATAGAAATTCGTCTGAATTTCCATAGATATGGTGCTATAGTGACTATAGCTGGCACGAGAAACGTTATTCATTTCTCGTTGAAATGTCTCTTTGAGAAACCAGAGATGGAAATTATCAAACCAACAAAAGGCCCTATACTGAGATAGCCTGTAGGCTAAATTACAGTTAATTATAAGAAACAATTGAAAGTTAACGCCCCATCCGATATTGTTATTAGATACACACATAAAATATGGTGCTGTCGCTTAAATGTTGTAGTGCATCGTTTTTACATTTACATTTTAGTCATTTAGCAGACGCTCTTATCCGAGCGA